ATAATTGAAAATAAAATTTTAGGGGTGGCCGGTTAGCTCATTTGGTTAGAGCGTGGTGTTGATAACACCAAAGTTTCCGGTTCCATCCCCGCATGAGCCACTGTGAGCTGTGCCCTCCCTAAAAGAGTCAACTATGCCATTGTAACATGAAAGCAAAGTGTAACCAAAGGCCATGGCTGTTCCCCAATAAAAAAACAAATAAATAAAATAAAAAATTTAAAAATTAGCAAAAAATGAAGCACTAGATGGCATAATTGTCATACAGAAATTTAACCTCAAAGATTATATTCATAAGAATAGTTTCTTAGTGTGGCTAACTTGCTATGAGCTTATTTTTCTCATTATGTATTTTCTTATAAAAAGTTTCTCATTTTATATTTAAATTTTATACTCTAAACGAATAGTATAATAAAATTTCAATGCCAGAAGGGAACCCAGAAACGAGAAAACTGATGCCTAAGTAATAGCTTCATCAATTTGAATGCTATTGTTATTATGTTGACATTTTTCATCTTGCCAAAAAATAAAATTAAAAAAGCAGGCTGCTGGTACTGAATGTTTAAATTTTTCTTTAATGCTGGCCTTATCTTTAAAAGATAGTACAATTTTCCTCAGTGTTAATTTGTATAAACATGTAAAATTTTTGTCCTTTTTAAATCTTAACAAGGTCTTATTTAATAAAAAAGGTAATCTATAACAGAAACCCTTCTGGTTGTCATATCTTATCATTTGTTCAGTCTCCCCAACTCTTTGGCAGTATTTCTCAAAAACAACAGAGATGGTCTGGATCTCTTTGTATCTTCAAAACTTGGCAGAGTGGCTGGTGTGCAGCCAATACAATAATTGGCTGACAATGAAGTGATTCATCTATTCAGCGTAGCATTTACTAAACGGCCACGTTTCAGGCACTACTCCAAGTGGATCAAGACACGAGCCTAGAGCTCATGGAGCTCCCACACAAGCAGAGGAGACAGAAACTCACTGCATCCAGTGGGGACAGTGCGGGTGCCATGACAGAGAAACCTGAAAGGCTCTAGAAGCACCAAGGGGCAAGTGACTAAATCTGCTTGTAGGTCAGAGAAGACTTCATAGAGGAAGTGCCACTGAATGGGGCCTTGTCACATGAGCTGGACCCTGATGGGCGAGAAGAAAGGAAAAGGCAACAGCGCAGACGATGGCACAGTGAGGAGTCTAAAATGACTGGGGCCTGGTGAAATGGTCAAGATGAGAGCAGAAATATAAATGAATAAATTAAGCTGAAAATGTACACCATTCTAAGTTTAGTCTCCCTCCTGTCATATGGTGATTCTCCCACTCTACCTAGAAAGCATGTTCTCTCCTTCAGTATGTTAAGACACAGAAATGTTTTTGAGAAACACTGCTGAAGTCACTGGGCACGAACAAAGATGTTAAAACAGGAACTCTCACACTAGGGGATCAGAAACATACTTGAAGGATATCACACACATCTTCACCTAATCTACCAGGGCTCTTCCGAAAGGAGAACGAGGGCCCCTAGAACATCACGAAGCTTCTTGTGAAGCTCTGAGCCCCTCAAACTTGTTAACATGCATAACCTTGGGCCTTATAAAATACTACCCTTACGATTCCTCTTCCTTCTGGTCTATTAATCTCTAACCACCATTAGAATAACCACCGTAAAACATGATGCTTTTACCAAAACCTTGAGGAATCTACTGGCCTCTCCGACCTTCGCATGGACCTCTAGCCGGCCCCATCCTTATTCCTCCCTAATTCAGACCATCTGTTTTAAGCGGCTCCGTCTCTGTCGTGCCCTCTCACAAATCAGCATGTATTCTGCATTTCTTCTCGTTTTTCACACGATTCTCTCTGCCTAGATTGAAAGGGACTTTTTTTTCTTTAAGCCAGAACCTAAACTCTGCCTGGTCGAATACAATCTTACCAGTGTAATAAAACTTCTTCCTGACTAATGAGCAATGAACGTCCCCTTTCTGAACTACGGAATCTCAATTCATCCAATTTAACACCTTAAACAGTACCTTCCTTTGTCTCTTTATCCAAAGTGTAATTTTGGTCTCCAGAGCTAGAGTCCTTAAAGACAGCATGCCGGTATACCCCACTCCACAGCAGTAACTCTTATTAAAATGCTCATTCTTCCAATCGAAATATGCTTCTAGGCAATACCATCGCAGATAGCTGGGAGCCTGAGGCAGGCGTGGGACGGGAACTACTGATGTGTAGGACAGAGGCTGACACCTAAATGCAGTCTGTTCCACTAAGCTACACAAACAACAGCTGCAATAACCACCACGTCAAAAACCCTTCAATATCGAGTTATATGTATTACAGGAGGAAGTAAGGAATTGCAGCAAATTTCCACTATTTGGCAGAGGACACAATAAAACCATTAAAAAGGAACTAAGAACTAAAAACAGCAGTAGACAATCGCTCCCTAAAATGTACAATTCTGCTTATATTTCCCAACTCTGGGGCAAAACTTAGCTTCCTATAAAAACCAGAATATTCCATTTTTAATGACCCTAAAACAGTCATCTACTTATAAAAAGGGGAACTGAGAGTGAATGACACTGTAAACCACAGTCTGCTATGCTACAAATGGGATTCCAACTAGGAAGGTGCCCCCAAGCCCCCGCCAACCCAGCCCACAGAGGACAATGGCAGCTACTGCTGGTCTCACCCATGGCCACTGGTATGTCTGTCCAGTTCAGGGCACATTTCTGTGTGCAGGTCCCCTCCTCATTGAGCACCACGGTGAGATCATCCTGACCCACGGCCACTTTTCCATCCGCCAGAGGTGCAACTAAGGGCTCCAGCTGTTTTCCTGTTGGAAAGAGCTCTTTGATGGACCCTTTTCCATCCACCTATAGGAGGACACAAAGCGAGTCATTCAGCATTCTGTGGCCAGAGGCATGAAGACGGCCTGGAAAAATCCAGGCAAAACCAAAAATCTACAGAAGCCAATAATATTCCTTGTTTGGCATAAGGAAATAGGTAACAAATAGAGCTTGTTATGAGAAATTTTGTCATCACACTGTAGAACCAGTTCTCTTTTTCTCTAACACAGAGACAAGCATCAAGCCCGACAACTAACATTGTCAAGTGCTGGCCAGGATGAAGAGCAACTGAACTCTCATATAGTGCCGGTGAGGATGCCAAATGGTGCAGTCATTTTGTTTGTTGGCTTCTTATAAAGTTAAATTTACACTTATCACATAACCCAGCAATCCCATTATCCGGCATTTGCCGAAGAGAAATAAAAACTTATTTTCATTATACAAAAACCTGTATGCAAATGGTTATAGCAGCTTTATCATAATGGCTAAAACGTGGAAACAACTTTGTCTTTCGACTGATGAATGAATAAACAAACTGTAGTACATTCATACCATGGAATACTACTCAGCTATAAAAAAGAATATATTGACACACACGACAACACAGCTGGATGTCAAATGCATTATGCTAAGGGAAAGAAGTCAAACTCAAAGGCTACATACTGTATGATTCCATTTATATGACATTCTGGCAAAAGCAAAACTATAAGGGACAAAGAACAGATCAGTAGTTACTAGAGAGGTTGGGGTGCAGAAGGAGGGGTTGACTTCAAAGGGGTGGCATGAGAGAATTTTTTTGGGTGATGGAACTGTTCTGAATCTTGATTGTGGTGGTGGTTAGAGAACTCTAGGCATCTGTCAAAACTCAGGACTATACATCAAAAAGAAGGAGTTTACCTATATGTAAATAAATAACTTTAGAATACCCTGGTCCTTAATCAAGACTGCCCACTCTCAAAAGACTCTACCCTGAAGGTGGCGGCAGCATTCCAGGCTGTCGGAAGAATGAGGCCTACTACCACTCTGGCTCAATCCCCACCCCTCACAGGCTTCTCTCAGCACCTATATGCCCAGTTGCTATTTAGTCAACTGCACAACAGTGACTCCTTTACAGACTTTGCAACTGATGCTGATAAAATTAGGGTATTCCAACAATATAAATATGGAACAATTATATTAACTAAACAATGAAGAGCTAACACAGTGAGGGGTAGGGAAGTGGGGAGATGAGGAGAAAGTCTTCTAGAATTGCCAAATCTGAATTATGAGAGGAGGATAAAGCTAAGAAATTTTGATTATTCTATGAAATGAGTGGTATATTAACCTTTTTCTATATATAGTGTGCATACTGGAAAAAAACAAACAAACCAATGTTGTGGATATTTACTGCTCAGGTTAAGAGAAAAAGCAGGTTATAATATATATATATTATATATTACTATATAATACACTATATAATACACTATGATATATATCTCATAGTGTATTATATAGTGTATACGCATATATATATCATACCAAAAGGTTAACGGTGATTATTTCTGAGTGGGAGGATTATGGATAATTTGTACTTCTTTTAAATTTTTTCCTTGTATTTCCTTATTTTCTATAATAAACACATGTGGCTTTTGAAGTTTAGAACAAAAACAGTGAAAATAATTTTTAAAACAAATATACTAAAAGATTTTGGAGGGGCAGAAATCTCAAAGTCTTAAAAATACTTAAGTTAACACTAAAATTAGTTTACAATTCCTAAGTACTAAAGCCTGAAGATAGCAATCTACGATAATGCTGTTGGACAGAGGCAAGCAGCCCTAACTATCTGTTCCAATAATTAGATACAGGATGTGGATAATTCATTATGTACAGAACTGAGAGGTGACTCTGTCTGGCTTAAGAGACACAGATATCTGATTTGTGGAAGATACTGAGAGCATGAAAAATAACAAAACATACAAACACAAACCCTGTTATGCTAAAAACCCTACTTAAAGCAGTCTCTTGATCTGTTGTTCAGAAGCACATGATCATCTCCCCCAGGTAACCTCATAATCATCTTCTCCAAGGCAAACTGATGATATTTGCAAAATAGTACGTTTTACCCTTATTAGGTAGTAGTCTCTCTTGAAACCCACACAGATAGAATTTTCACACCATGCCATGGACTTGGGCACGTCTGGTACACTAAAGTCTCCCTGAAGAAAGAGAGCAAGAGTTTAATTAGAAAGATGTTAAAAGAAAAAAATCATGACCTCCTATTATTCCACCCCATTCTGCAAAATCACCCTCATCCTCATCTGAATTCAATTTTATAACGACAAGACCAGGAAACCATCCATAAATACGTCATTTGGTCCAACATCGTTTTGTTATAACATTGATGAGGTGCTGTAGGAATTTAACTCTTGTTTATATCAATTAGCCTATGGTAAAATTGGTTTCGTTGTACATCATTTCACTTAAAGTCACAGAACCTATCGACAATGTTAAGTGAGTTAAGACTTACTGTATGTCACCTGTGTACTGGACAAGGTATACTTGGAAAAGGTGAAAACCCACTCTGAAATAAACCAATCTGTATAGATGTTGTAGAGCTGTATTATCCCTGCCTCTGAAAACCACGAGACTTTGACAAGTGGGCATGAATAAGCTCTCATGTACTTATAGCAGAGCATTCATCTGGAGAGAACGCTAAGACAGGGGTTTTGACCTTCGCTACAACTGAACCAGAAGTCTTTCAAGCTGTGGGTCCATATTAGTAGTGCCTCCCACCCAACCCGTGGACCAGGTAACAGTGGACTTTACCTGCAATTCATGAAATTCCCTGTCCTTCCAGAAATAGAGCTGCAGCTTCTTTTTCACAGCCACACACATCCGCAACACCTCCTCACCAGTCTCTGTGTGCTGAGAAGAGACACCCAGAGCAAATGAAGATGCGCACACAATGATTCCATAACTGGATGACAACTATATTAGAGAGATTTTCTACCTTGACATGGCTACTAATCTGAACATCCCCTGTAATACAAAGTCACACTGCGAGACAAGCTAAGCCGGAAAACACCATTCACTAAGATGTACTCAGAAACAACAGGGTTAGGAGAACTTCCTGCACACGGGATGTAGGTCAAAGGCTCCTCCCTGCACCAGATCTTGTGGACATTCATAACTCAGAGAGGAAAATCCCTGGGCAAGCCTGCACCTACATAACCACTTCCTCCTTTTTTTTCTTAAATGTTTCTCACTTGTGGCTGTCAGTACATGTTGGGATCAGTGGCCACTTTCAATCCTTTGAAGGAGTATGGGAAAAGAAAGTGGCTACACATGAAGCAATGCGTAGACCATAAAAACGCTAAAAAATGAACAGAGTTAGGGGTGAGGCAGATTTTGAAGAATGTTCAGGGTGATGAATTGGTAAAAATAAGGAGAAATGTCTTTCCTGAATAACAAAAACTCCCTAAAGACAAAGACCACAGTGGTATAATTAGAACAAGAGTCAATTTAATGTCCTATAGTTATGTTCATGGTATCATTACAGGTTTGATTTCTCACTAATGGTTTGTCCATGATAAGTGTTTTTATCCTTGGTTAGTTGTCTCCTGCCATATGGATGCCTGGTGCTCTAATTAGCACACACACATACGGAATGCAAATGTTTCAACCTCAGACAGCCTACTAAGGGAGAAATTCCTCCAATACAATCCAAAATCAGATACTCTTCGGAGTCTTTGCTGGGTTTGGATATCAATGTTATTCTTCCCATCTCATGGTAGGAATGATGTAGAAAAGACTGTATTTATTAAAGCACCAAGTCCAATTTCATCTTGCCTACACTTACCTGGAGGTCGCATGTGAACAGTGATGCTCCCTTGGCCTTTGAAACCGTAGTGATTTGTTGAAATGTCAATAGGTCATGGACATAAATATTATTTTCTGTTCAGAAGGAGGTAAAACATCACAATAAATTATCACAATTCTCTAGTATAGCCACCTTCAGGACAAAAATAAATCAATAACTGTAGCTACCAGAAGAAGCAGATGGCAAATACTGGTTGAAGATGTACCTTTGGTTTCACTAACA